CAGTTCATAAAACTCAAGCAAAGGCAAGGACACTCTTTGGCACAGGGCAAAACACAGGACGTTATTTGGCACCGGGTGCAAGCCTGGCACTCAGTGCCTCCTCATGAGACAGTGACCTCTGTCTGTGGTGCCATTTTAACTGAGGTTAATTGCCAGATCTTCGTTGTCTCATCATGAGGCCTCCTGCTGTGTTTTCTATCAAGACAGGCCACACCCGCTATCCAGGCATCTTATCTGATCAAATCAAACCCTAGGATGGCTGCTCTTCCTGTTTTTGCAGAGGACTGTTGTCTTCATGTGTCTTGTCTGAGTGGAAAACCAGTGTAAGGTGGACATGTTCAGGGGCCTAGGAAAGAGGATGAGCCATGCTGGGTCAGACTGAAGTCTTGTATCACCCAGCATTCTGTTCATACAGTGGTCAGTAAGTTCTATATGAGAGGCCCACCAACAGAACATGATAGTAGATGCATCCTCCATCTCGTGTTCCTCAGCAATTGATATACCAAGGCATATTGCCTCTATCGTATATAGCTATCCTGGCAAATCACGATCAGTGGCCTTACCCCATAAATTTATCCAGTCCATTTCTAAAGCCTGCAAAATTAGTGTCATCACTACCTCCTGTGACCATAAATTCCACGGTTTAACTATGTGCTTGGGTGAAGGAGGCCTGCAGACTGACATCCACTGTTGAGGGTGGGCGGAACGAGGCTTCAGTACCAAAAGGTTTAGTCTTGAGGGACATAAGAAAAGAGACAGTAAAATAATCCAGGATCTGGGTTATGGAATGGTGCATATTGGTATTTGATGACTTCTTCATCTGCTTCACGTTATACTGTATACTTCCTGAAAGGAAGCTCAGATTGGACTTGTCATATCTGGGGGGTAACAGGCTGATGCTCATGGCTGCCCGTGAACTTTTTGTTTCCTGCAGGCCTGCCCCTCTGGGAAAATGATGATGTGGTCCCTGCCACCCCCTCCCCACAGCTGGAGGCCCTGTCGCCAGAGACCATGGGGGAACCCAAAGAGGAGGAACTGGGGGCCTCATCTGAGGTGAGGGGGTCCTTGCCCCCTAACCCTGAAGGCCTCTCTGACTTTCTGCAGGGGGCCCTGCTGAGGAAGGAGTTTCTGGGGGGCGAGTTGTTGGAAGAACCCATCCCCGGTGAGGAAAAACAACAAAAGGAAATACGGGATTGGGGAGAGAATGAATGGGGGTAGCTTTGGGCGGGGAAGAGAAGGTAGCTTGGAGGCACACTGTGGTAGGGAATGTGGGAAGAACTCATTTGGTGTTTCCTTTTAAGTAAAGAGAGTTGATTACGAATCAGAAAATATGTTTTCCATTTTGTAAGGATTTGTAATAAATATTTCTGACCGTTGTGCATGGATATGTATTGGCTACAAAAAGCACCCATACGGAATAGATTTTGGAAAGTGGCTCTTTGGGAGGACGGGGATAGGACACAAAGCCTACAAGAGTTTTTCTTCCTAATTTTCCAATCCCCTTTCCTTCCCCCCCCCCACTTTGTTTCTTCCCACCACCCTACTGCCCTAGGAGGTAGTCCTTCTACCTTGCCCCCATTCCACCCCCCCATCCAGCACCTGGATGGTGGGATGGTCCCCGAGATGTCTGAAGCTGCAGCCACAGGCCCTTCCCCTTTGACCACTGCGGCACCCCCCACCGGCTTCTTGCTCACAACCCCACCAGCTTCCACGGCGGCTGCTCCCCCCCGCCTTCCCCCTCCATCTGATGAGACAGGGTCTGCCAGCCACCACATCTCTGCTACCACCACAGCCTTCATCCCTGAGAGTGATGAGGAGACCACAACCACGCTGATCACTACAACAACCATCACGACAGTGCACACGCCAGGTAAGTGATCGGTATGAGGTATGCGAGGTTGCCTTAGGAATTCTTGAACTGGTTTATGGCAATGGTTCCCAACCTTGGGTCCCCAGATGTTCTTGGAGTAAAACTCTCAGAAGCCCTCACCACTAGCTGTGCTGGTCAGGATTTCTGAAAATTGCAGCAAGAACATCTGGGGACCCGAGGTTGGGAAGCATCGGGTTTATGGGATTTGCGCAGGGCTAGTCTCCACAGAGACAGGAGACTCCTAACCCTTGGGCCGGAGACATTCTCTCATAGCCTGGCCCTACCTTGCAGGGGTGTCATAAGCTCCCCTGAGTCCTCTGGAAGAAATGCAATTAACTAAGTAAACCATAACGTGACTTATTTTCATTTGTCTTTTGTCTACCTCCTGGAGTACTTTGCAACAACAACATAACTGACGTGGAAGGCTATGTTGAATCTCCAGATTATTCTGGGGCCACTTTCTATGGAGGCCTGGATTGCACTTATACGATCTCTGTTTACATGGGCTATGGGATAGAAGTACAGGTAAGCATCATGAACAGGTGAAGATAAAACTGGCTCATCTGTAACTGAGGAATATAGTCAGGGGATTTGCTAAGTGGTTAAAAAAAAACGGGGTTAGCAATAAGAGAAAGCAGACAGGATTATGGTCTGCTCTTTCCTATTCCTTTTTTGGTTTTGGACCTCTTTTTTCTTCTTTGTTTTGGGCCTCCCAGGCCAAAAATAAACCAATTAAAATAAATGGAACTTGTTTACTATTGACTGCTTGTCGATATTGGCATTGTTAAAATGGGCGGCAGTTCTGAAACCTTTAATCTTGATAAAAAGACACTGCCTGTGACTGAAATTCTGCCAGAAAAAAATGCTAAGATTCCATGTTATTGGTTCCACCTCCCCAAAAAAATGCTTTTGTTTTTTGATGTTCTGCCATTTTTGTATAGCTGCTTGTCTTCAAAATAGATCTTTGCTTTAAGTCTTAGTAGAAGCATTTGCTCTTTCTGTTTCTTTGACAGTTATTCTTAAAGAAAAATGTTTGGTTCTGTATGCAGCAGGTATTTTTCTAGATATGACATGCTTAAATAATTTTGGGTTTAAGAAGAAAACATTTTCTAATTTTCATCTTTCTGGTTGTTCCTTCCTTTGTGCTTTTTCTGCTCTTCTTCCTCCTCCTCCCCCCCCTCAGAGTTTGAATATCATCATAGCTATTTTGAGTTTAGAGGCAACATCTGTAAACAGTGACGTTGTAACTTTGTACTTCCTCAGCCTAGAAGTTGTTCTCCTTCTTGTTCTTCTTTTCCCATATTTTATCTAAAGTGAACCACTGTAACAGTCCATACTTTTAATTTGTCATTAAATGTCCTAGCTTCATTTTTATTTATTTGATTTGATTTATTTGATTTATATACCGCCCATCTGGCAGCCAAGGCCACTCTGAGGGATTTACAGAAAATAACATAAAACAACAAAGTAACAAAATAGCAAATAACAACATCAATATATAGGGGTGAAAATCATAAAGTGGAGTGAGGATAAAATTACAATACAATAAATGCAGTTAAAAGCGTAGAAAAAGATAAAAACATGGAGCATGGCAGTATGATAGAAGTTATATTGTTGGACGCTATTGTATCAAAGCGTAGTTTCTTCAGGGAAGGCCTGTCTAAATAGCCGGGTTTTTAGTAGCTTTTTGAATGTGCCCATTGAAAGGGCCAGGTGGACTTTGGGCAGAGGAGAATTCCATAATTGTGGCGCTACCGCTGAGAAGGCCCAATTTCTAGTGGTTGTTTTCCGGGCCTCTCTCGGGATTAGAACTCTCAACAACCCTGCCTGTAACGATCTTATAAGACGGGCAGACCTAACTGGAAGGAGGTGCTCGGCCAGATATTGAGGTCCCAAATTGTTTAGGGCCTTATAGGTTAGTACCATCACCTTGAAACTGGTATGGAAGTGAATAGGTAGCCAGTGTAAGGCGGCCAGGGTGGAGGAGATATGTTGGTATTTTCTAACCCCACTAGAAGTCTGACTGCCACATTCTGGACCCGTTGCCGTCTCCATAGCAGTCCCAAGGGCAGCCCCACGTAGAGGGCATTACAGTAGTCTAATCTTGAGACTACCAGCGCATGAACCAGTAGTGAGGGACCTGGTGTCAAGGTAGGGATGTAGCTGGGTGATCTGCTTTAGGTGGAAATAAGCGGATTGGACCACAGATGCAATCTCAGGTGTCATGGATAGTGATTAGTCCAAAAGCACGCCCAATCTACGAACCTTATCCTTCATGGAAAGAGTGCCCCCCCCAAAAAAAAGATAGGGAGGCAGACCACAGACACTAGGGTCTCCCACCTGCAGGATTTCCGTCTTCTCCGGGTTCAGCTTTCTGCATTAGGTCTATTTTTAGGATTTCTTGGTCTTTATTTGTTTGTGTTCATATTTCTTAATGGGTCTCCCCCTCAGTCCAAGACTCTCCATGTGACTCTGTACATCTTCCACCCTCAGGTGCAGAGTTTAAACCTATCAAAGGAGGATTCACTGACTGTGGAAGGTCTGGGAGGGGAGAAGCCCGTTGTCTTGGCCAATGAATCATTGATGGTTGAGGGCCAAGTGATCCGTAGCCCAACCAACCAGTTGTTGATACACTTTCAGAGTTACCACACCACCACACCTGGAATCTTCAAATTCCACTACCAAGGTAAGGCACTACCTTTAAAACAAAGATGGGCAATGTGTAGCCCTAAAGATGCTCTTGAACTTCATTTCCCATGATCCCTCGCCACTGACTATACTGGCAAGGGCTAATGGGAAATGCAGTCCAGGAACATTTGAAGGGCTGTATCTTGTCCGCTCCAGCCTTAAGACACAGGAGGAAGCAATTTTCAACACCTTTTAACATTTATAGGTTGTGCTTTAAGACTGGGAGACAGGCGGGAGCTACCCTGTATTACAACATGGAGGACCAAAACTGGAAAAGGAGCCCTTCCTTGTGCTA